GATCGATACAAAAGCCATCCTGTCGTTATATCTATACTTGCCTTAATTCTCTTGTAGAGTTTGGATGTAGTGTGGTTGATTAACCGATTTATTTTATATCGATGTGTTGAAAGTTGATGATGGTGTGAATATGACAAGAGTGTAGTCCTTCACGTTATTAACAAGTCACAATTCGATGTTCTGTTTGAACTATCCAACGGTTCAATACCCTAGACTATAACACGTTTCTTTCTCTTTCTGTCCTTCTCCGTCCGTTTCTTTTCTTTCGAAATGGCAAATATATTGTCATTTTCAACAAAATACCCTCATTTACTATAGGAATTTTCCCTTCAAACGTACAATAAACTATAATGACACAAAGATCGTTTTTAAATAGAAATTTTCTTTTATGTCTGCGAATTGAATTTCATGACATATCAACTACGGCCTTAACGTATTTTCCTTCGAAATAAAAAATAAATACAAATAAATAGTTATATGTGACTCACAAAAATCAACGTATCTATGGGTGCCATTTTATTGAGAAGTCTGTTTGATGTAAAATATCGAACATCACTTTCGTTCATTGACTATCAATGTAAGTGAAAGTAGAATGTATGAAAGTATATCCAACATAATTTTTCACCAACGAACTTTATCATTGCATTATAATGCGTTGACATGAAATCATTATTTTATCCAAAGAGGCTTTTGGATATTGTATAAGTATGAAAACCATTCGTAAACGGACGCACTATTCATTAACAATAGTTCTTTTTTGTAAAGTTCATTGTTTCCAGATACAAATTAGAAATGATACAGCATTTGAAAGAAAAAGCTAATTTTTTTCGGGTGAAATATTTATCGCAATATTCGTTAATATTCATAGTCGAATAGTCGTACATGAACGATATTCCTGTGCCAAATTGATAATCAATTATCGATATGCATCGTTATTTGTGACCTTAGTCTAATCTGTAGGATAAATGTTTATTATAAACTAGTACAAAAATTGTCGTTTTATCTTTGTAAAGCTCCTATAGAATTGTTCGATTGAAATACAAATCAACAGAAATTAAACTTTATCAATGGCGTCATTTTATTTCGATTTCCTCGTATAGATATGAGGAACTAAAAAATTCAAAATTTGTTTCATCCTGATACTACTTCTTCTTGACTTGCTCAATTCATATGAACTACACTTCTCTATCTTTATCGTTCAATGCATTACAATGCGTGATAATGCATTGAACTACATTACAATACATGAAAATGCATTAGAACGCATTAAAATTCATTACAGCACATAATAATGCATTAAAATGCATTACAATAACAAACTAGAACAAGCAACAAAGAACTAACACGTGTAAAGACAGCCTTTTCTTTTCTTTCCTTCTTGTTCAATCCGTACACCTATCAGATATACGTTCATTCTTTTCGTTCTGTTCGTTCAATATACGTGACGGACGTTCTGTATGTATGTATGTATGTATGTATGTATGTATGTGACCGTCTACCACGATTCCATAAATGTAAGGACAGTCACATTGAAATAATCTGGTGATAAGAAAATAAAGTCTTTTTAACGCTTTTTTGAAAGTCTAGTTCTGCAGGAGTTATTGCACGATTGTGCATTTAAAAGACCTACTTACTTGTATACAATACATATACAGAACAGACGCCTTTTTTTGCTTCTTTTCTAGATTTGATATTCTGATTTTCGAAGAAAGATTCTCATCAAACTAAACAACAAGAAACTCGTAACGAATTTAACCATTGAAAGCGTACAATCCATTCTTCGCTCTTGAATTAAAACAGCAAGTAAGTAGCGAGAATGTTCTGCAATGCGTAATATCGTATGCTGTTTTAGGTTTTCTCTTGGGCTCAAAAGTTCTACATTTATCACGTTCAATTTGCTGTTATCTTGTCAGTGTTTTCTCAAGGAAATTGTTATTGAAAGTGAGTATTAAAGTTTTGATCTGTAACATGGCAAAGTTTTCCAGGCACTACGAAATAAGGAAGCTCTTGAGCTAAATCATGCGCGATTTAACTTTCCGTTGCTGTCAGCTTATTCTTTATAAATCACAAATCTATGCTTGTTATTTTTTAGACATGGCACCTAATAAACTGGAACCATATGCAGCACAAATTAGTTCAAATATTTTCAAACTGACCAATTCCTCACCAATTCCATTTGAAATGACATTGATTTTCGGTTCATTCAATCAAGTGGCATTACTTCGTTTCTTCGAACAACATCAAACGTTAGGAGTTGATATCGCTCCATTCGTATTTGGGATGCTCGGACATGCCGCTATGATGCTTGATGGAGTGGAAGTTTTCAATCCTGATGGCGCCGGTAGTATTTCGTCGATGAATTTATTTATTCATTTGATTGGTGAACCAGGTAATTTTTTCTTATTTCTTTGATAGATTATCCATTTTGTGTTGACTTCTTTAGGCACAAATAAATCTGGATTATTTCGAGTGTTCAACAATAGCATCAATGCATTGGAGAAAATATTTCCTTCATTTTTCTCGAAACCTGTTGCCGAACTTATCAACGGCAAAGAAGTACTAAGTACGGTTGATTTAATAGCAAACAACGATACAGAACTATCGTTATTTCAACGACTCTCCAAACGAGTAAGTTACAAGCGTCAGATTTTATGAGTATAAAGTTCCGAATGAAATTCGTAAAAACTATTGAGGGAAAATTGCTTTTGCAATCGACATAAATACTAACTTCAGGGACGATATATAGTTAAATTGTTCAAATTGTCTTTTTAGGAGAATGTATTTATTTCAAGTGATGAACTTGATGTTATTAATACTCGATTCGGAGTGTACCAAGCTGGTTCCACGGACAACGATATGAAAACATTTGGTTCCAAACTTTTATGTCAAAGTTATGATATCATGAAAAATGTTTCTCGTACAACTGGATCGTCGTCGTACTTCGTCAAACGTGGCTCCATCAATATTTTTGGAGCATCAACAGGAAGCATGTTATCATCTGTATGTCGACAGTATAACAGTAATGTTCAGTCCGATGGTACCATCAGTCGGTATTTATTCATCACAACATCTGTGTACAAGACTTCAAACGATCTACCATCTGAAATTCTGTCTGTACAACCAAATATCGTACACGTTTTAATTGTACTTCGCTTATTGGCAGAACACAAGCCGATATTTGTATTTGCTCAACATCAATCTCTAATTAGTTCACCACAACCAAGTAAGTTTCCTTATAATTCATATGTCATTCGATAATTACCCCAGTGAGCAGTAGACTGCAGTTTAGTCTAAAAATGTCAACAGATGTGAGAAAATAGTGTTATATTACTTACGTTGCCATGCTGAATTATAACATGAGATTCGGTAATGAAGATGAATCATCAGCCTGAATTCCTTCTGTTGTCATCGGGTTGGTCGCATAGTATCATTGTTCCATCTATATCTGAAAGAACTGAAGGTTCGCAACATTTTCCAATATTTGTCACTCCACATGAATGTTTTTGCTTCCTGTCTTTTCTAGTTATTGTTCCACCGGATATTGAAGAAGCAAGAAAAGTTGTCGTAAATCCAATTCCAACATCTGAACCGATATCGAATATCAAGCCAAGTGTGATTATTGACGTTCAAGAAGTTAATGTCGAGCAAGATGGATCTGTAATATCCCCGTATAATGCCATTCGTCGTATTATTGAAGCTGAACATCAAAAATCGTTGCAATGTGATACGAAGGGCAATCCGATTTATATACCTTTACAGCGGGCATTTCAACGAAAGAGCAGCAATAAATTAGCCCGTTTAGCTGGATTGTGTCAAACGACGTCGTATGCCATTCGATTATGTTTTGAATGTATTAACATAGTTCGATTTGGTGATGGCCTTTATCTCAAGGAATATATCGACGACGAACAAATTAGCTGGCTAATGAAGTTTCATGACAATGTCAAAGTACTGATCGAACGAGATGTTGCAATGGCTCCAAAATTTGGAAGTGATCAACGTCCATTATTTATTATTGAAAAGCCAGCCGTACATGCTTCAAATATGCTTTACCAATATACTTCATCGACAATTTCGGCTCTTTTCGACGGGACATCAATGACTATCAATGAAACAACCAAGAATGACAATAAAATTTCGATTTCCGACGAACCATCAGCAGAGTAAGTTGAATTGAATTTTTTTCTTCCAGAATACCGACTCACGACTCATATAATATCTTGCTAGTGTAGTGAGTTTGAATATTGTTCGAGAAGAGTGCGGGTGATAAATCTCTTTGTAGTTTAATCCCACAAGATAAGACAGTTCTTTCTAAGCTGACTCTTAAGACTATCCTTTAATTAACACCTCATCGTTTTATATCTGTTCGTCATTCTCTATCTGATGCACCGATAGATACTCTTTTCCTCATTGGATTAATTTGATTAGTTTTTTTAAACAAAATACCTAATTGAAACTCATGTTTTACTTTAGTGCTTTCTATGAACATCAATGTATATTGCTCCAAATGACATCACCAATTCTTATTAAGGCTTGGTTCAGCAATGAGATTATGGGTCTTCCATTCACCAAGATCTTCATCAATTATCGAAAATCGAAGAAAAAAATGTCCAAACTTGCTGAAGCTGTTGACGAATTAGTTCGACACGGTATTCTGAGAAGAGGCTTACAGAATACTCGACACATCGTTACCGCACGAAAAGAAACTTATTTAAAAGCATCACCAGCTACTATTCGTGGCAATGCCGACATGCTTACTTACCTTGAATCAATTGGTGTCGATATCGGAACTTATGAACATGTATACCTTTCATCACCATTACCAATGAACATGGAGTTAACTACATTTGCCATTAACTCTATTCTATTCAATGATGATTACGTTGAATATTGCCATTTATTCAATGATACTCGTATACAAAAAGAAATGGAAGATCGATTATCAAGACATGTCGTGCAATTCAGAATGTCATTAGGTCGAAAGCAATACTATGTGCCGTCGATGTCTCAAACTGTTGAACATCGTAAAGTTGAACTTTTTGAAAATGAATACAGTTCTTATTTAAGTGAATCCTTTGTGACGTATAGATAATTTCAATGTTGAAAACAGTCAACCGTACGATGCTGATCAAACATCAACTAATAATAATGGTGATGACGTATTGGCAACTTTAATTTTCGAATCACATCGACCAATTAACAATTCATCGCCAATCACGACATCAGCTCGTTCTGAAAACTCTTCTGTTCTCTCTGAGATTTTGAACCCAAACATCACTACGGCACCACAATACAACAGCTTTATCGATCAAACAACTGAATCTGATGATCACCTTCGGCACGAATTCTTACCATCAGTTGACGATATTATGAGGCGATTAACAAACATGCTCGATTACGAGCCATTAAATATCGAACATCCAAGTAAGTCTTCATTATAAACCAAGATTTTATTTGAACCGCATAGTACTGTATGATTTCCAGATCCAATACCAATGACAACGAACAAAATTGATGACGATCGAGAGTCTAATCAAAATAAATCAAAAGCAAGTACTGATGAACAGAACCAATATAAGATGACACTTTGACTCCAAGTAAATGTATTGGTTTTGTCATCACGTTTAGATCGACCGGTATTACCAAATATTGAACTATTACCCGGTAGTGTTATCAACAACAACGATACACTTTTACCTGCTGAAGCGACAGCAAATGATACGACCATATTGTTGAACAATATGAGTTCTCAACAAACATTCGAATTACTCTCTACTTTGCTTCCGAATAAGAAACATTTATTAAAGAGAATATTGGATGGAGAAAACAATAATGCTTCTCCGAAGCGATCGAGAAATAATGAAAGTGAAGAAGTCATGGCACCGTTCATTGATATGAATTTAAGTGGTACACTTTCATCGGCATCTGCTCCGACAGAATCAAACACCGCCGATAGTAAGTTACAGTTTTCTTATTTTTGAGACATTTTGAAACAAGGAACTAGACACCTCTGTAAATACAGTCCTATCTTGAGTGAATTCGGTTCCGAATTAGCAGTATTAGCATGGATGGAGTTATTCCTATTTTTCTAGGCGGTAATCAAGTTGGCGATGAAGATCTTCAACAAGCTTATCACAAGATAATTCTAAGTGATGCAATCGTTATGTCACGGTCGGATGTTTGCAGCAAACTTAAACACATTAAAAACATTAACAAGTCACGTGACCATGTACTTACCAACTTAGTTACCGATGGATTATTAGTCAAAGGCAACTGGTTTGCCAGCAAGAAAGTAAATGGTACTATCGAGCTTCTGCCAGGCTTTCTGAAGACATTTCCGAAAAACAATCCGGAAGATCAAGCTGATTTTGCTCGCACGTTAGCGAAATACAAGGTACATTATAAAGACTATGAGGAATCATTCAAAAAGAACGAAGCCGATGATTTTCCTCGTACACTTACTGCTGCTGATGTCAAACATAAAACATGGCTGTTTTCAAATGTACTGGTCGACTTTATTGGGAAGAATGATTTTCTTAACGAGCGTGTAAAACTTGATCCATCGGCAGTCATTCAAGAGAATAACAGTACGTGATATTATTGTTGATTCCGTCGATCTTTGAAGCTTTTTTCTTTGTAGCTCCGCCTATGAGAGGCAAACGTGATCGAAAACCAAAACAACGTTATTCACCATCGGATGACAGGAAATGAATGTGTTATTCGTTGGGGCTATGTACATACTCCGCCTTTTCTTTTCTCAATATCACAAAGACTTTTAACTGTTCTCTTGATTCTATGTCGTCTATAAAACCATTTTATTCTGAAAGATTCTTCTAGTGTTATTTTCTCATTTCGATGCGTTTTAACTTTTTTCTTCGCTGTTGCTAATATTTGTTATTCGACACTATCAGCTTTTACTTATTGTATTTTTCGCTTTCCAATTGTTTTTCTTCTACTTTCATACATTGGTGCGACTATTTTGTATTTATTGCTTTTATGTAATAGATTGCCACATTTAATTGGTGTAACTTCGAAAAACGTGTGATAAATTCCTAACTGAACACTGAAATGCTGCACAAGTAAATTAAAACAAAACAACATATTGTCGAAAGCCTAGTTTCTTGATAGCGTTGCTCATGAGACTACCTCTAATGGCAAGATATCGAGAAGTTTATGAGAAATTAGATGTTGCATTATTTAATTAAGATACATTAGAATACGGATTTCGAATACACGGTAATAAGTCTATAATTGACATTGCTGCATAATATTTGCATGCGTCCTTCTGATCGATTTGTGAATCACTGACTGATGTATCTTATATAGATGATTGTTTTCATTGAATTTCGAAACATTCTCCACGATCAGCATTGGTTAGGTGTGAATCAGTAGAATGAACTATTATGCATCAGCATGTGTTGCCATGCATCATCTTGCATTATTTTCCATTATTTTGCATTATCATACATTATCATGCCTTATTACGCATTATCACACATTATAATTTGATTATTATATGATGGTCAGTTAGGCATGAATTATTATCTGGAGTCAAAAAATTTATGGTGAACATTAGCTCGATAGAAGCAAAATCCGACGATCAACTTAGCATAGAAGCAGCATAATATTTTTGTCGTTGTCGCACACCATTCAACAAAGATTAGATTACGCATTCTAATCAATTAACATGTTGTTAATCAAATGCTACATGACTAAGAAGAGAGATATTTCTACAATAGTGCGTAAAAGAAAGAAATGTATGTCGTACAACCAGGTGGCTCTTGAAATTCGTGCAACAAAGCTAAACTGGTATCGTTTCTGACAAATTTCAACAGATTGCAACTTTAAGTATGCTTTTACATAAAACGCATAAAATGCCAGACATAATTATTTATCTAACAGCAAAAAATATCGAAAACTGAAATTCTATTTGTTTTAGAAATCAACGAAGTCACATCGACAAACGACAAAGACAATCTCAAATTTCCAAGCGTCGATAAATAAGAGTTCTCCGAGCAACTATAATATAGAGTTGTCTTGAACGTTAACGGCGCTAGTTCTTTGTTGTGAAAAATCGGGCAATGAAAAGATTGGACAAAAACAGATACGACATATATGATTATTTAAGAGCGAATCTTTATAAACAAAATGCAATGTTCATAATGGCAATTACACAGCAGGCCGTGTCGACAGCAATAGCTCGTGTGGCAACACTGCTTTTATCCTTTACAAAGCAAAAACAGCGAGAAAATACAAAATGAAACAGAGGAATAATTATAATATTACAAAGGCTAGAAGAAAATTTTCTGTAACCCTTTAGCGACTAGAGATAAAGAAATCGTCGCCGGTCCTGTCAGAACGAATTACATGAAATGACATACAAGTAAGTTACCGCGTAATATTAAGTGAAAATGGAACCTCTGGAACTGACGATTCATGATCAATCTACCTCGTCTTATTAGTGATGGGCGAGAAAGCATTTTTGTTAAGAAGGAAAAACAATTTCAAATATTTCATGCACAACCGTGTTTCTTCTTGTTAACGTTATTTCATTTTCAGCATCAAATCATTTTCAATATTGGTGGAACATGATACATTTCAATTATCATATAGACACTCCAACGTCTCCTCCAGCTGTATGTGAAATTGTACCCAATTGTAATTCACAATTAAAATATTATCTTTTATGCACATTATCTCGCAGTAAAATGAGTTGTTATGCGGTAACGCAAATTGTAATGAATGAAGTTGTGTACGAATGTTCTTCCAAATAATAGTTAAATCCGATTTTTTTTGTGATTTAATATTTCGATACAGGTGAGTTATTCCTTTATCGATTATAGAATACACGAAAAGTGTGCTTTACGGCGGGCCTCTGTCGTGCAAAAGTGAAGATCCATATTATCACTTCTGTTTGTATGATGATAGGCACTGCGAATTACAACGAATGTTAGTACATTAAAATGCATTGTAAGTATTGATTTTAAACTATTGTTGACAGATGACACGTTATTCAATGAAATAGAAAACTGAGTTTTTTATTCTTTTGTGAATGTTACGACTGAATTTATTGGATACAATCTCAAATCAACCTAAAGTTTTTATTAATTAATCAGGAAGAATCCATGGCGTAGTGTATTTCATATATGTAACAATACTATCCCCTTTTCATCATAACAAACAACAACAGATGGATTGAACCGAAATTCAAAAATCATGTTGCAATCACTTCAAACGAGCTTAATTTGACTACCATTACGGTTTAAAATTCAAACAGTTATATAAGCAAATAATCTAACGATATTCTTACGCCATCTGTCAATATCTACAACATTCATTTTCCAGTACTAATATGAATTATTTCGTTTAACATACAATATTTGTTCAAATCATGTTCGTTAAGCGGGTAATCATAAAGCTTCAATCTAATGCGTCAACCTTGATCCAAATGACAAACTTCTATTGCTACCCTTCCGATAAAATTTATCGTTGAAAATATTGACCAGAAAAAGAAAGTTTGAGAAATTGAAAATGATAGATAGTCAAAAGGCGTTGATAAATCTCATAAACTTCATCATCGACCGATTTTTGTCTGGAAACATATTGCCGACGCACTAGGTTCGTCAGTTTTTTTTCAAATTTCAGTACTTGAATAAACTGTCAATGCCAATGGTGTTAGAAATATTCATCAACTAAATATTTTTCAAAAACATTCAAAGAAATTGTTCGGTACTACCTAAAACCTGCTTTGCTGCTTAATGACAACGAACAATGATCTAAGTGAGATCAAACACACGAAAATGAAATCTTTTACAATTGAAATGATAGTAACAGCGTGTTGAATACCACAGATATATGTATATATATATATATATATATATATATATGTCGTCAGCCGTCGTCTCAAAACGTGCGTAAGCGTTGCCGCAATAGATTTCTTTAGCCTTCGACAGGCACACTGTTATTTTATAACTTAGATACCGGTGAACCCAGTCAAACGCAATCGACAAATAACTTAATCCATTTCTACAATTAACAAATCGACACCGACATTACTATCATAAACTTTCTTTTCATAACGTGAGAAAGAATCTTCCATATAACTATTGTCAACATCTATTAATAAATTTCTTTTTAACACTTCAAAGCGTTTATATCGCAACAAAGACAAGATATCATGATGATATCCTTCTCTACAAAAGAATGTTACCGTCCGACGGTGAGCTATATTCTACGCAATTAGTTCAACTCAGAATCCGACGAGAAAACAAATTCCCTTAATTAAAAACCTCTATGATGTTAAGAGTTCGTACTTTGTGGATGCAGATATCGAAGTTGAATTTCACATTTTAATGCTAACACTCTGCCGAAAAACAAAATAAAAATTTCATTTTTGAACATTTTTAAAACGAACTACGAAGCTCAAATTTCATAGATCTTCACAGACACTCCTATCTTCTTTTTCTGTGGCATGAAAGTCAGCCCGCCCTCAAGATCTAGACTGTCGCTAGTCATAATTTCCATGCTTGTACATTTCGCTATTCCAACATCCGTAGGACAGCCCGTGATCTCGAATCCTAGCACGAAAATAGCGTCACTCTCGATTATACCCATTATGGACATCCATAATCAAAGTCACCCTCGATTTCCGAACCTTGGAAATTCGGAAATTCTCCATTATGGCCATTATGGCCATTATGGACATCCATAATCAAAGTCACCCTCAATTTCCGAACCTTGGAAATTCGGAAATTGGTTCGTTCCGGTCTTTCCATACAATTTCCCGGCAATCGCTATAGTGCATCATATGTTACTTCAGTATTGTTCGACTTCGAATTCTTTTAAAAGACAAAAATCCAACTAAAAACAAATTCTAGGGAGATTCTTCTTTTTTTATTAAAACGATGTGCCATTAATAAAACATAACTTTAGGCAATGAAAATAGAATGCCAGGTATGTGTGATGGAGCGTTTAGTACTGAAAATATTTTAACATACAAATAATAAAATACTGACATTCAATGTAATTTTTAAGGGAAATTTCAAATTGTTTTACGAAAATGGAAACCATATATTTCGATATGTAACTGTGAAATCAGAGACGAGCACAGATCAGGACTGTCCAAACAGATTTTTATGTCATATATGATGTGGTAGAAAATAGATAATGCATTTATGAACAACGCACTACTTTTAATCATATAATGGCTGTGATCGGAATTAGATAAGGGTAGACTATTAAACTAATAATATTAGTACTGTTGCTGCTTTTATATTCGGGAGAACAACTCCTTTTGTGCTGCGTCATAACTTAATTTGGAAATTTGCGTCAAACTTTCGGAAAAATTAACAATAGACAACATGGTCGTCATAAGCAACAATTACAAGCATTTAAAAAAAGTTAGTTGGAAGTCTAACTGAATAACACCATGCGTGCTTTTTGTGTAATAATAGATGCCGTTATGCTGATTAATCCAGTATTACTGTATTTATATGTGGCCTGGTATTTATCATTGTACATTACATCTTTTTCAATATTAATAGCCTACTGGCATAAAGATACACAATGATAAAAAAAAATTTTTCGTGAATCTATGAATATTTTTCTTTGGAATCGATAGAACTCATCGAATTCTGACTTGGAACGCAAGAAAACAGATTTAGATCGCATATCATAACGAAGAAATCCTGGAAGAGTCGAATCTGTTGCAAAGATGTCCTACCCAGGTCGATCATTCCGGCCGGAACCGACCGTGCCATAATAACCTGGGTACGTTAGACAAACATTCATTATAATAACACATTCTCCTTTGCGTTGCCTCATTCCTTTTTTTCTGCAACGTTGAACACGGAGAGAATGGATGTGTAGTTTCGCTCACCATCTGCGCAGCTACAATGAAAGATCAGTATGTTTGAGCCCATGGCTTATTCGGAATGTCTGAAAGAAATCAGCACATCCGTTCTCATTATGAATATTTCATGTGGTAATTTTGAATATTGCATGAAGACCTTTTTTTTTCTTAAAAATATTGATGCAGAGAAAAAGTAGATTTTTATTACGGAAGAGAGAGAGAAAAAAGAGAATAAAAAGGCATCTACTAGTAGCAGATGCTATTCATTTTATTTTAAATACAATTGTTGCTGTTGTCAAGTAAAAGTTTGACTGCAATAGTTATGGACCGGATAAGAATTTCAATGTTGTTTTTGTTTGGTCTTTTCGAACAATTGCTCATGCAAGATATAAAGTCCGTTACAATGACAATCATGAACGGATTGGAATTTCAGTGTGCTAACTCAAGCTGTTTACCATTCGTTACTACTACTGCACCAGACATCCTCCCATGTCAAATCCACTGTTTACGGCAATCCCAATGTAAAGCAACCACTTTTCAAGAGACAACTTGCAAATGTCAATTATTTAACAACATCGCAGATCAAAATAGCAACTTGCAAGCAAACATACAGGCCACAACAATGATAGTCATCTCCGGAACACGAATTCCACTAGGTTAGTATAGTTATGATAAACCATAGATAATACACAGCATATTCGAATCGCATACGGATTGATTCGTACTTAGCTAGTATCAACTTCGGGTAGCCTCATCCAGAGGAAAATTTTTTCGCTAAAAACCGCAGTGAATCGCAGTTTAGGTAACAATAAACGCGGTTCAGTATGTACTGGTTAGTACCGGCTCGATAAACCGCGGGAAGTAGTTTAGAGACCGGGGTTTTCGAAGACGGCGGTCAGTGTGCTAGAAACTGCGGCGTCTGGAGGGAAAACGAAATGTGTAGAGACAACGAGAATGGCGTGTTCTCGTATTTTTAGAAAATTTTTGAAAATCAGTATATTCACTATATCGCTTAAAAGTGAATTACGCGTTGATTAATGGGACCTGAATAAGTTCACTACACAGCTTCTCGAAGGGCAGTCCGCCTACTTTTTCAGGAAGGTCAGGTGGAGTTAGTCATGCTGAATCAGGTAAGTTATAAGAAAAGCCGTCTGAAACCGCGACGTATGGTAAACGCGGTATTAATTGGATTTTTCTAACCGCAGGAGCCAGACCTTTAATGCAGTTTTGGTCGGTGTTTCAAAACCCTATGAAATGTCTGACTCCAGCGGTGACAAAAAAATCGGTCAATGCTGCGCCTATGAAGGCCGCTGTTTCAGTCGTTTTTTCTCGATTTTTTCCCCGTGGGATGAAGGTCATTGTAGACATGTCAAATCTTCAATAAAGCTTGTGTAGAACTAGATCTGAGTACAATCTAGAAAACTTACGGACGAACAGTTTACAAAAGATATAGGAGTTTGTGGTCATTAACATCAAACACCTCCAGCTCGTCACACTACGTCTGTTGACAAATGGGGAATAGAAGATTGCAATTTGATTTCTATTTTGGCCTTGATGAAATCCACGCCACTTATTTCCAAATCGTTTTCGCTGTTTTGTTTTTTATTAGAACTATATTTTCACGGATTATTTATTCTCGTTTTACGAGACAAATAGATTTCATTACACTCAATAGACAAGGACAATACATTTTTCATGAGTACACTTAAAACTGATAGCATGTGAAACAACTATTTTGACCTGCAAGAAAATGACTTCCACACTCTATACTGTAAGTGCAGTATGCGTGTGGATAGGTGTTGTCGTTATCTTAATCTGCACCCACATTCTTGTAGAAAGGGAGAATTAGAAGACATCAAGGTAAACATGAGAAGTTACCGTTATTCATTAAAATTGAGAGATATTCATAGTGTCCGGAAAAAACAACACCAATTTGAAATTCTGCCTTGCTGAATCCTTTCTTCTCATTTTGATGTTTATTTTTCATACAAAAAAGAATCAACCACGCCATCAACAACATCAAGCTCAACATCAACAAGTTCAACAACAACATCAACCACAACGGAGACAAAGACGACGTCAACCTCAACTTCAACCCCAACATCAACCACTACGACGACGTCAACCACAACATCAGCAACAAGTACCACTACGACGACGACTACTCCACCATGTGGTCCTGGCGTGTGTTGTAATGCAATTTGCCCTGCGTGTACTCATGGCGGTGTCACCTATTTTTGTCGACCATATACCAGTAGTACTCCTGGCTATAATATGTATACAAGTTTAGCTTCCTGTAATGCGGCTGGTGGGAGCTCTTATTACTGTGATTATAGTTCCAGTTGTGGGTCTGGAAGTGGCTCTCCTGGCTTTGGTTCTGGCTCCGGATGTTAAGGAAAAGTGTATTTATGATTTGGATATGGCGGGAATTAACGTTTGTGTGCAGAAGACGTCCGCTATGAACTGGAATCGTACTAGACTCTGTGTGCTTTTGTCCGCGAGTGTATTGCATTTCTTTTTTTGTTATTCATTTTGTACAGGTAGTATTCAGCACAGTGACTGCCTTGCATATCCTTATATAGTGAATGATTTATTTTCGTATGTTTCGGTCAAAATGCCATATGATGTGTTATAGCGTTTACCAGGAAATGCTCTGTTTTTTTGGGTACCAACTGATTTCCCGGAAATGGAATCTGTTGATCAGACAAACTGAGAAGTCTGAAAAGCTATAATTCTCCTATAGGGCATAGTAGGCATGATGAGGCATAATGGAGGTATTTGCCGCTTAAAATATGTGATTCTGTCTACTGAAGGGATCTGTCTGAGTGAGAGTGCGGAGTGATTGTCGGTGTCCTATATGCCCCATTATGAAAAGTCCGTAATATGGTTTAGGTCCATGTCGCCTGCTGTGAGCTATTCCACATTGGGAATTATGGGCTTAAGTTAGAACTTCTCCTTTTCCCGGAAAACGCTATAACGCATCAGATCATATGGTAACTTTACTTCAACGATGGTCACTTATCATCCTGTATGTTCGAGCGTGTTCATCTCTGGCAATTGAATTCATCATTTTTTCAGTTCTAATATTGGAAAGTTATATCAAGCTGATTTTCGTGCATTAGCTAGTAGTTATTTTCAATTACTTGCTGCATTTTGCCTTCATGCTGAAAGATTAGTCCGTGATGCACTCGATGATTTTGATTCAGAAACTCTTATCACTCCGTCTGTTTTTTTTTCACAGGACTATCTCAATAGTTACATTCAAGAGAAAAGTAAATTTCTGAAATTAACAACAGAAAATAATCTTCTTCAGCTGCTTCAGCTAGTGCTCACGACTACCCATGCTAATGCATTACAAACAGCAATACAGACATCAACAATAACAAATGTAATAGGCACCACCATCATATATGCATATACAGTAAAACTTCCCATATATGGGCACTCTTCGGACTTTCCTAAATCGCCCATTTAACCGAGGTGCCCTTGTTACAGAGGTTTTTGTAAAAGCCATGCATAAATGTTTTTTCGCAATTGCGAGACGGGACCTACTGGTACAAATTTATAGTTATTATTATTTATTCTGCAACTTCTCAGTATTTTATTCTAGCCATCAGAGACTTTGTGCCTAATTATATTTATTTTTCATGTCCTTAATTACAATCAAGTTTTGCGAAAAAAGTCTGTGATTGAAGTTTGCTTGTTGCCCTTTGAATCGATGTAAATGTCGATAAGTTTTGATTCTAAATTAGCGACGACTTCATGAAGTTCTGGTTGAGAAGTACATGCGAGCAGATGCAGCTTTCGAGTCATTTCAAGAGCTTCAGTGAGTGATGGAGGTTCTTCTTGAATGATTTCATCATCTTGATCTTGTTGAATGTCGTTCATTTCTATTGTTAACGAATGCACTGTAATATCATCAACTTCATTAAATACTGGAATATCTTCGTCAATTTTTACAAATTCCATGGCTGTCAGTTGTAATTCATCCATTTTTACATACGAAAGTAGAATATCAAGTTTTTTAAGTGAATCTTCTTCACTCGGAAGAGATGAATTGAATGTGAGTTCATTAATTTCATCCATATCGTTGTTAATCATAGTAACTGTTTGACGATGTTGAAAACCTGCCTTGCAAAATGTGTTGCGAATTGTTAGACCAGTAACATCGGCCCAAGCTTGATCTATCCAATTAATTGCATCCAAGGCAGTAATGATGATCTGATCTGGTGTTAATGCAACTGTGCAACGCTTGATGATGTGTTTCACTAATCGACTTCGGTAATATGCCTTGAAACAACGAATGACACCTTGGTCGAGTGGCTGTATTTTACTTGTTGTGTTTGGTGGGAAAAAGATTAATGTAACATTCGACAGTTTTAAATCTGCAGGATGCACAGGAGCATTGTCGAGGACAAGAAGAATCTTTCTGAAAAGGACATACAAAAGGTTTGTTAAAAAATGAAATGTTTTTGTTTTGATGCTCACCGATTCTCTCTTCGCATCTGGATATTAATCATCTGAATCCAGTCTGTAAAAATGGTAGAGTTCATCCATGATGTGCGATTTGCTTTCCATATAACTGGTAGCTTGTTAATGCCTATGTTTTTAAAATATCTTGGCCGACGACTATTTCCTACACGAAAACAAAGGTTATAGCAATGAACGTTCACCAAGCTTTGCTCTTACCAATAACTAATGGTTTCAGTTTGTGAGTACCCGACCAGTTCGCACATAAAAGGACAGTGTATCTTTCCTTGGATTGTTTCCCCCATTGCATGATTCTTTGGGTAATACCATTGATCGATCTGGTAATAATTTAAAGAACAATCCAGTTTCATCAGCATTATAAACATCGTTTTCTGCATAGGAATTAATTAAAGCTGGTAATCTTTTCTTCCATTCTTCAACTGTAGCAGGATCAACTTGAGCGCTTTAACCAGCTATAGAACGAAATGTTATACAGTGACAATTTTTAAACTTGTCTAACCATCCATTTGATGCTTTAAATGTTCTAAAATGACAAGTAACGCTCGTCTAGCGACTCACTCAGCTCTTTCTCGTAGAAATCGTGCTTTTAGATATTACACTTTAAAGCTATGATTGTGTATATTAACTTATTTTTACCGTAGATTAGATATTTTCACAAAAGCAACAATAGATATTTATACCAAATGTTAAATAGAGCTTTAGATATTGTGAAGAAATATCAATACATTTAGGAAGCTTATGGATGATTACATCAAAAAACGAAATCAAGAAAACACGATAGGCAGTATCTGATGCAATGAGAGAAAAGAGACAGTTACTACAATAATTAAGATAAATGTGAAGCAAGAGATAAAGAAAATAAGCATGCATGAATAATTATTTTAAGGTAATTTCAAAGTATAATACGTTTTGTATGCTTGCAATAACACTAGGCTCTTAGCAAAGTATTGATTTACACATGTTTCAAAAAATAAAAGAGGTACACTCTCGTTTTGTCTTGTTGTCAAGTTCATCTAAACGTTTCAGTTCAGCGTCTTGCGCAGAAGAAGTTTGAACTTGTAGAAACTTCATGTGGAAAGGTCGAAGGATAACTATATCATCCCTTTTCTTCACTCTACTGAGTGGTGCATATATCGATGCTACTTGCAGTGTCCCTGGTGGAACTTGAAGATCGACTACGATTTTGTTCATTGTGAGTCCTTGCGCCTTGTATGTAGTTATAGCGAAGGCAGGTACAATTCCCGACCCCAAAATGTCTTCGGTAAATTTTTATAAAAAAAGCTGTTTTTTACAAAAAAGTCACCCCTTGTATAAAAAAACTAATCCATGTAAACATTTTAAAAAATAGCGCCAGATTCGAGTTCATCGACCCAAATAACTCCTTAGTCAAATTTTATAAAAAAGCTTTTTTTTGTAAAAAACGGCTCTTTGTCTAAAAAATCATTTTTTACAAAAAATTTCGAGAAACTAACATCAGATTCGAAGTCTCCGCATCGAAATACATCTAGAAATGTCTTTTCGGAAAAATTGATTTTCAATGTTTTTTTGACCCTGCGGACATACAAGCAAACAAGCAAGCAAGCAAACAATTTATGTTTCTAAGACTCTTCTCTACGAGAAAGAGAATAGAAAGTAAAACAGTACTGTGAGTGAATTTTTTCCACCCTTAAATAGACAAACCCTGGCGAACATCCAAATTCTTCGACGAACTCTCTTGCCTTTTCTTGAATTAATGGACCAGAGAGAGATATATTTTTCGATCTTTCTTGAGTAAACCATGAGAACACTGCTTCATCTATTTTTCGACCTCAGTCATCTTGTAACTTGCGTTTGACACCTTTGTTTGAGTTCGTTTGAAAGTCGCATTTGTATTCTTCTTGCCACTGGAGAATGTTGTATACCGCACCTTTTGATATGTTATATTTTGTAGATAGCTCGCGCTGCGAAAGATCAACTCGATCTTCTTATCAAGCGTAAGAAAGTTATGTGTGGCCATTGTTAGTTGATTTCATCTGTTAATGTGCGTTTACATACCTATTTATACACTCTCTTATTAATGAGTGCCTAATTAAAGACGTATAGACCTGTACTAATTACGTGTTTCATGTCAGACGAGTTATTCATTCATTTTTTGACGAAACAAAAGAGAACAATAGAATAAGGAACAAAAAGATAACTCATATGTTAAGTTTGTGCCCACGTAAGAGAGGTGTAAGAAGCCAAAATGGGCTAAAATTAGTGCCCACTGCTCAGAAGTGAGAGGTGCCCTTGTTATAGAGGTGCCCACATAGAGAAGTTCTACTGTATGTAATGTAGGTTGTTGACCATGTAAATGAAAACATTAAATACATAATTTACAAAATGAAGATTGAATATATGCATTGAAAGCAAAATAACAAATGCATATACACACAAGTAACGCTCATCCTTTGGATTCGCTGACTCTTTTCTGAAAGACTTTTCCTAATGCTGAACACATTCAGAGACTTCGATAGAGCAAAAATGCACTGCGATTGCTACCAGTGCTTAACTGAATCATGGCACTATGTCACACACTAGAATGAATAGGATGCAAAAGTCTTTTTAGGAGTCAGACCGATTAGTCATTTGTCAGTGGATAATTCTCCAGCACTAACTATGTTGACTGAAAAAGTCATCGCTCAACGGCTAGTCAGACGGCCACTCACGACCAACCATTGATGAATTGAAATGAGAAGACGTCAATAAGATTTTATTTGGATAATACAGTAAAACCTCTGTATAGTAAAGATCTCCTTATCATGAACGCTTTTGAAAAGTCCGAAAAATCGATTTTTGCTGGAAATGTATCTCTCTATACGTGCCATTGGTTGTTCTTACAAGAAGACAACGACAGTTTCATCTGTGTACTTTTACAAAGGCACTGCCGATGAGAACTATCTTGTCATTTTTCAATATAATAAGAGGAATCCTTCGTCTTCCCTGCGCTGTTCTAACGTCATCGACCTTTCTCTTTCCAACGGCTATTGTTTATTCGTCTTGTTCACGACAATATTTGGCTTTGAACAAGATTGTTTTATTCGTATCACTCCGAAGGTATTGCTGCTCCTCTTACTATAAAATACTTGATCGATGCATCGATTGATTCTAAGCTTCTAGATGTGTACAATGAATCTGATCTGTGTTTCCACGAAGATCTCAGAGTTCGCCGATGCGTGTAAATCTTCTGCATCAAGTATTCGCACATCCCAAACGTCCGATACTCAACTGGTCGCTTTGGAAACCTTCGCTGGTTACTTGAAAAGCATTTGCACATTGATCCTAGATTCGAAAGATACAAACACGAGCGACCTTGATCGTCTCTTTTCCAATCGATTGTCACTCGAATCTATTCGGTCATTCATTACTGATCCTCGATGTCGACTATTGCTTATATCAAAGAAAACTACTGTCCAAGATACATTGATGAACCAGCTGGAAACAAACAGAAATAATGAAAACGATGTCTATAGACTGTTGATGGAAGTTCATTATATCAATCCAGAAATGATCACACTGATCGTGTTCAAGCGAGGTCAATTCATTGAAAACGGAAAAGATTATGCCGCGCAATTGCAGATTCTCAGTTTCATAGACTCAAGTCCGTGCCAAACATTACACGTCTATATTTCACAAGTCATTAAGCCCTATTTCGAGTCGTATGTTCGTCAACTGGACAAAAATGGACAGTAAGTATTTAATATAACGATCCAACACAGATGATATCTTTGTTGTCTTTCCAGTGTTGAGCAGACGATCGAACAGATCATTCAAAACAATCTTATGGAACTCGAAACAAATTTCAACCATCTTGAACAAAGCAATAAAATGGCAAAGCTAACTGTTGCGATTCATTCGATTAGCACACACGTCGGCAAAGAATGTGACGAGGAAAATTTATCATGTAATGACCAATAACTGATGACCTCTATGGTCCTTAAAGTACAATGGTCAACATTTTAGAGGCAAGAAAAGAGAGTTATAGAACGAATAAGAAAACAGAGACAATATAGAGATTGGAGAGACTCTTTTGACACCGGAAAAAGAAAGAAAGAAGAACGAACATCAAATGAGGGCATTCCAACGACGTGTGACCAGAACAAGAACAAGAACGAGAACCGACTTTCTAGTAAAACACAGAAGAAGGCAGATGTAAGAATTCACTTTTATAAGTAAGATATACATAGAGAGAGAGAGAGAAGGACCCAGGTCGAGCATTCCAGCCGCCGGAACCGGCACGGAACCGAGACGGAAAACATCGGAAATCGATACAATTCTGCAGGTTCCGTCTCGGAAAACAGCTGGATAGCACCGGATATTCGCCGGTTCTTTGCCGCC